TTTATATTACAAAACATTTATTACTATGTATAAATGAAAATATGTAATATAACGAAAGAGAAATATTCAAAAAAAAATTATCGATTTCAAAATTATTTACACTTTTCGTAATTTCTTTGCAATCTCATTCTCATTGATTATGATATTACAGTAAATGTATTGTTAAATTATTATAATAATAACGATATTGTTAATAGTTATAATAATGGATAATGCATAGATAATTTTTTTGTCTCGAGGGAAATATAACGCTCGATAAGGGCAATAAGTAATTTTCTTATCGACACAAGTATCATGATACTTTTGATAGTTATTTAGGGAAAGAATTTTAATTTATTACATTTAAAATAATTGACTAACGGATAGTTATATATAAGAAATAACAATACTTTTGTCGTGAAATTAATATTGAATTCTAGGTTTTAAAAGAGTCTCCATCTATTTCAAAGAACATGAGAATTTGCATGCCTTTTTAAAAATAAAATACTTCTTGCTTGCATCGCAATGAAATTAATAATACTCTCTTTACATTAAATAGACATGGCTCAAATATGCGAATTCAAGCATTTCATCTCTGTTATCAACAGCCAGCTTAAGACAAAAACTTTACGTAAAGATTATAGATCGTCGACTCATATTCATCGACCGCAGCAATGCGATTCGTAGTAATTGTATGAACAATTACTAACTCGCCTCAACCATCACCCAGATATACTTTCATGCGTTTATTTTATAGTTTTTTTTTTTTTTTTTCTTTTATAAACTACCTTTGATAATTGGATTAGAATCGGTTGCTATGCTTGTTTTATTCTAAAAAACCTTTTCATTTAAAAAAAAAAAGAGGCGTTTCTTCATTTATTTAATGACTATGAACCTTTTGTCATCTATTATCTACAACACTATTACAGTTTTTGATAGTATATAATATTTATTCTCTATCGACAATGCATGTATATATGGAATTATAAATACATCATTAAGTAACATGTTTATTGCTTACCCGATTACTTTTAAGATTATAAAACTTTAAAACAATTTTTTTTTTTATAAAAATTCATGACCGATACATAAATTTACATTTATTAAAATTTCGTTCAAATCAGCTCAACGAGTTTATATTATCAACAAATACACACACACACACGCACACGCACACGAACATACACACACACACACACACACACACACACACAATATAACTTTAAACAATTCCAGAAAATTTTCTAAAAATTTTTTTATATTTACAGTAAAATAGTTTCCTTGAATCGTCGGTAATTTTCTCTATTTTCTTAAATTTTATAAAATTCTTTTTAAATAATTATGATCCATAAACGTAATATTCAACAAAATTTTATTTATATATAAAATATCCGGTATTAAAATGATATATCTGAACCATTATGAACCAATCGATTGTTAAAAATATTATTTAAAAACAATCCACTGCGCTCGAATATGTTCGTTATTTGATCATTTTTTAATCTCTTTTTAATGTCTGTCGGTACGCGCGCATGTGTGTATGGGTGTGTATGTGTGCAAAAAATTAAAAACAAACCATCAGAATCACTAAATTATATTTATTTACATTAGACATTAGAAGTAATTCGATATCCAGCATAATTAAGCAGAATAATTATTATTAATAAGTAAATATTTAACCATTGTAATAGTCACTTTCTTTGTACATTCTAAAATTTATTTAAATTTTAAAATACTCTCTAAGTTTTTGCAAATTCAACAATTTGCTAATTTAGGAATTATAATTCTAATTTAATAGATTTATTTAAGGTGTTCGATCAAAAAAGTGCTTGAAGACGATTATATATTTAAATTATATAAGTTAATCAAATACTATAAATATATTTTTATATTAGTTTAAAGACTTAAAATCTAACTTGATATTTATTCAAAAATAAACTTAAGATATCATAATACACGAAGTGTTTAAATTTTCAAAATTAACTACTTCGTAAATGAAAGCACGCGTGGACGTGTGTTTGTGTGTGTGTGTGTGTGTGTGTGTATTATCGAGTAATTATAACTCGGTGAAAATAATTAAAAAAGATTTAAATTACAAATTTAAAAATTGTTTACATTTTTAACCTAATTAATTGCATTATTAATTTAATATGGCATATAAAGTCGAAAAGTTGTTTTCAATATTCCTTAAAAATCCAAAGACGTTTAAAAAAAAATATTAATTAAACAATTAATTCAATTTGAAAGATAATTCAAATTTGCGTATGTTTACAAAAATTAGTTTAAGAAATCAGTGAAAATAGATATTTTAGATGTTAATGTTTCTCTTTACACTTCTATTTACCGTACCTATAAAAAATTCAATCTGTAATTAAAATTTAGTTTATCTATAAGTCGTAGATATAATTGTTTTCTAAACAATACAATATTAAGATATCAAGGGATAAAATATTGTTATTATTGTATAGTAGTTATGAAAAAATTTTCCAAAATAAATGCATTTTCAATCGCTTGTTAATCAATGCGGTACAGTCGGTAAAACAGATCAGTTTATGGGATCAATATATAAAAATTCCGTTTGTGAAATAAGAAGAGAAAATTGTGTCGATAAATAGGAATAAATACATCATATAAAGAATAAGAGGAGATTATAATAGCTTCTATTAAAAATTGTATGATCGAAATTTTTTTAGTGTAAAATGGAAAACTTAAATGAATTTCAGTAATATAGTATAATGTTACATTTGCAACGGAAATTCATTGTAAATTAAGTTTGTGGATAATCAGCACAATAATCGAAGAAGAGAAATGCACAGACTCGTATTGAATACCAAATAAATTCTAAAATATGATAGATAATAGATAGAGATAAATATATAATGAGTAAATATAAATTCATTATACAAATATTATTGTAAGTAGTATGACAAATGTCAAAATAAAATAATAAAAAGATTTAGTTTTTCTTTAATTCTCAGATTCATGCAAAATAATGTACATAAAATTTTCTAAACTTTTTTGCCTGTAAAGAATGGACATACTTGTCCTTCTTTATCATTGAAATTAGAAATTATGTGCAAGTTTTTAATGGGACCTCATTGTTTCCATTATAATATTCTAAATCCTCATTCTAAATGAATTGTAAAAGTAATTAATCAATTTTACCATATGACAATAATAAAATTAGTGTGAGTAATTAATCGATAACTAGTTTATAAGAATTTAAAATATCTTAAAATATTAAAATATTTTGATGATCAATAATAATGAATAAATTAACATTTTGCTCGATTGATGGTTTAACTCGAAATTGATTTTCTACTCAAAACTTAAGTAGGCGGTATTCACTATTTAAGCATTTATAATATTTGATAAAATAACCAAATAATTATGGAGAATAATTTTGTTAGCTTTCAATTAAATAAAATAGAAAATAGAATATACATTTGCATCAAATTAGTTTACCATTAAAAATGGTCGTCAATTGTCGTCTACTTTGGGTAATTATTTTTTTATGTTTAATGTCGTAATTGTAAATTTTATAATTACAGGTAAATATTTTATTTCAAACGAATATAACAAAATTATATATTAATATTTTCAAACTATTTGTAATGTATAAGTATTATTAAAAGATATTTTCAAATTCTCGAGAAATAAAAACATATTTATAAGCTGTCAAATTTTGACAAATAATTATAGTGAACAAATTATCAAATTTTCTAAATAGTATATAATTGCGTTAATGACATCTCATGGTCTGCTAAGTTTACCCAATACTGGTAATATGTCAGAAATTAATGAATGCATGCTTTCATATAAATTTTTCAATAAATAAACAATATTGTTAAATACAGTTAGGTTAGCTTGCAGACAGTAATGTAATGTCGATTGTTGTTATTGAAATAAGCCTAATTTCGAAAAATCATAGTGTAGAAGTACTAAAATGTTTATTTGGTGTTGATACATGTAACGTGAAAGTAAAATATAATCCTGATGTGTATTCGCGTAACACCTATTATAGTATTAATAATGAAATTTTTTGTTTTTTTTTTTTGTTTTTTTTTTTGTTTGTTTTTGTTTTGTTTTGTTTCACATAATGACGCTATAGACGTTTGTAACACTGACAGTTGGACATATTAGAAGTACATTTTATTTTGAACATGTTAAATTAATAATTCTAAAGACAATGAAATTTTATATCGAGTACGAATAAACTGCGCGTTATAGTTTATTGAAATATAAACTTAAATATATTGTATTATCATTCTTTCGCTAATCATTTTTCTTTTAATTGCGCATTTTTAAAATTTATGTTGCATATCGTTACGTATAAGTGTTTTAAAAATCGATCGTACAATGAATGGAATAACGCAATAACGCTTGAACGCTCTCTAATTGAATATATTTTCCTCGTTAATCAACAGTCAAATTCAGGAGATTAATTAAACCACGTAAATTATCGATCCAGGACTTCCTCCTCGGCGCATTGTGCGAAATTTTTTCATCGCTAGCAAGACGGGTGATACTAAACTGAAGGAGAAAACAATCGTGACAAATCCCGTAAGGTCTCGTGAATTCGACTGTTATCCTTGACTTTCCAAGACACTCTCGAGCCTTAGCTTCGATTCCCACAGGGAACGAAATCATCTTTTAAGATCTTTTTGTTTAGGGCACGTAGAGAGACGAGCTTGAAAATCACTATGAAGAGC